CCTTAGTTTTTGGTGCTTGACGCCAAAGGGGGAGAGGGATCGAGTATGTTAGATCTAGGGGGAGTGTTACATCTAGGGGGAGCATATGATTTAATTCTTCATCTAGGGGGAGCATATGATTTATTTCTTTTGGTTCTTTATGTGTGATACATTATGCATTCACGTTTACTTTCATGCATTGAACTACATACGTGTGATTGTGATACTTATGTGACATGTGTGTTGTCTACTTTGATTGATATATATGTCATGTCACTTCATTATGCTCATTTGCTTTGCTTCCATGTTTTACTCTGATTCAAATGAGCTTTATTTCTTGTACTCATGCTTATTTCATATCTATTGAGTACACCATGTTGGCTTGGGTCATATAAGCATGTCTAACTCCTTTGCTCCTGTTGTCAAAAGCTTATATGAACCAAGCATGTTGAAAACCTCATCTCTTTTACATACTCGAGGTTGTATTGTCATCAATCACCACAAAGGGGGAGATTGAAAGCATCTAGGCCCCTAGTTGGGTTTCGGTGACTAATGACAATACGAGATTACTATGACTAGCATGTGTTTTGTAGAGGCAATTAAGTTAGGTCATGGTAATGGCAATTGATTGGGCAATCATGGTTGTCGTGCCCCTACGATGGAAATTGTTTTGGTTTTCAAAGGATGAACGGCAAGGTTAAGGATAGACTAGTTCTAAGTGTCGTTTGGTGTTGAAGAGACACTTAGAGTAGTTTAGGACTTTGTTTTTCCTTTGGCTGTACTATTAAGGGGGTTATGGACTAGTAGCTTGACCTAGGTGAGTCTAGTGGGTTAGATGTGGTGCACACTTGTCAAATCTAGCACTAGGTAGCTCCGGAGTAGCCCTAAGATCAATTGCAACAAACTTCATTCACATATGATTTCGAGTTGGAAGTGAATGGAGGGTCAAATGACTAACCGGACACTGGTCTGGTTGTGACCGAACACTAAAGGGTGAGCCCGGTCAGTTCATTTGATCAACTAGAGCCGTCTGATTGCGACGGGATGCTGAGTGAAAAGTGATCGGACGCTGGGTGCCAGTGTCCGGTCAACTCCAGAGAGGTTCTAGAGAGGGAGATTCCTGATTGGACACGTTCGGTCAGTGCTGACCGGACGCTTGTTAGGATCCGGTAACTGATCGAACGCTGAACAGCGAAGTGATCGGACTCTGGGTGCCAGCATCCGGTCAACATCAGTAAGGTTCCAGAGATCAGTTTTCATGACCGAACGTAGATCAGAGTCCGGTCAGAACTTAATGGCTCTTTTTGGCACAGTGGCAGGGATAACTGACCGGAGCGTCCGGTCATCCTAACTGGAGCGTCCGGTCACCCCACAGAGTGATGACTCAGCCTCCAAACGTTATGTTTTGAATGAGGGGGTATAAATACTTACTCCGCTAGTACAAAGGAGGTCTCTTGCCCATTTGTTCAGCTGAGAAACACCCTTGAGAGTGCAAAAGAGAGCAAGAGCCTAGTGAGGTGATTGAGATTTGAGAATCCAAGATTAAGGCCTCATTAGTGCAAGGAGAGTAGCAAGTGTGCATCTACCCTTCTCATTAGGCTTGTTGTGATCAAGTGAGAGTTTGTACTTGTTAGTCTTAGTGATCGCCATCACCTAGACGGCTTGGTGGTGATTGGGAGTTTGGTGATCATCCGGTGGAGCTTGTGGATGACCCAACTCAAGTTGTGAGCGGATGTATGCGATTCACCGCGACGGAGTATCGAAGAATCAGCCCATAGAGAGCACTTGATCCTTGCGCGGATCAAGGGGGACCTACACCCTTGCGCAGGTGCTCCAACGAGGACTAGTGGGGAGTGGCGACTATCTGATACCTCGGCAAAACATCGCCGTGTTCCTTTCCCTCTCTTTACTTTAAGCATTTACATTTGAGCAATTCATTTCTTGTCTTTACATTCTTAGAATTACCATTCTAGAGTAGGATTGGAACCTAGGATGAAAAACTTTTGTGCGGTAGAACAATAGAAACACATTCTAGGCACAAGGGGTGAAGTGGGCTAAGTGTAGGGTTTAATTATTGCAAAGAATTTTAGAATTAGTCCAATTCACCCTCTTTTGGGCATCTTGATCCTTTCAGAAAGGTTTTCAAAAAAGGACTAAAATGCAAAATTTCCCCACGACGATGAGAGGTTGCATGGCCTCGAGTCTCGAGATGCAGGAAGCAAGATTTAAATGTGAATTTTGTTTTCAATTAATTCCTCAAAAGGGCTAATAAAATGCGTGGATTCAGTTATTTTTGTAGACTTGATGCAAGGCAAGCCGTATGTTTACTATCGTTTCTTGTGATACTTATGAACTAAAAGGTTTCATAAGAGAAAAGAAATCCTGCAACAAGGCATCATTCGACCTTATGAACTAAAAGGATGGAATTTGTCTTTTGTATTGTTTGATGTAGGTGCTTGGTGATCACTGCCTTAGTGGAATAGAAGATTGTTATCATGGATACTACATTGGAATAGTTATTCTCCATGACAAATCATCCTAGGATCAATCTAACAATGTTAAACCATTGGGAGCACAATTGGAAAGATTATTCGTTTACATTACATGGAAATTGTGTTATGTCCTATGTTGGATTATTTATAAAGATGAATTTTGAACTTTTTTTGAAATATAAAGGTGCCTTTGTATAATGACCTAATATGCCATTCAGATTCCAGACTGATGTTCTTTGGCCATTGATGTCTTTTGACAAAGTTATCATCCTAAACGGCCGTGTATGCTTCATAAGAACATCTCCCGGAGTTTTTCTAAATCTCACTTTCAAAATCATCATTTGGAGAGTCATTTGCATAAAAATCATTTTCTATATCTTTTCATTTTCCAACAGCTTTTCTATATCTCATGCGCACTCTAGAGAGCCATTCTCGTCTTCTATATTTAGCTAGCGAAAAATCCGGAATAGAAGATGGCTATATTTGGATGACCATTTAGAAAAGATGTTGGATGATAGTTTTTCACCAAAATCTCTATTCCTAGCATTCAGGAAGGATATGGAGTCTCTTGGAGATGCTCTAAGGTTTCATTCGATTTGATTTCGTCAAGATTGGATTGATTTACATCATAATTGTCCATGTGTATTTGCAAGCATAAACCTAGTACAATTATAGATGAGCAAATGGGCCGCCTAGCCCGGCACAGCCTGACTTGGCTAGGCCAGGCAGGGCACGGCGTGCTGCCAGGCCATGCCAACCTAGGCTTTGTGCCTGGTCGATGGCCCAGGCACGACCTACCGTGCCGTTTTTTAGGCCAGACCGGCCCAAAAAGCACGACCAATCTAGCAAGCCGGGCCGGCCTGTGTCCCGCGTCACCGTGGCCTTGTAGAGGGAGCACTGCCGCGTCGTAGAGGAGCCGAGGGTCAAGGCCACGTGAAGGCCTCCACTTCCATGGTGCCACCGCGAGCGGGAGCGAGGAGCCGTCGCCGAGGCCTCGTGGGAGAACGCCACCACCCGCCATGGCCCATGCCAAAGTGAAGCATCAAGCTATGACCGGGCGTGCACGACGAGTGGAAGGCCGAGAGCGCCTCTCTCGTCGGGTCGGCTTCTCCGCTGGCGCAGTGGCGCCGTCTGCTGCTCAACCTTCTAGGCGGCCTCCTACTGGGGTTGGGCGCAGAGGCGTGGTCCGCGTGGAGAGGCGCGAGTGGGGACCGGGGACGAGGAGGCAAGGAATGAGGGCCGAACGCCGGATGGGACCGAGCAACGCGAGGGCCAAGGGGTACGATTATGATTTAGGGTTAGCCGAGATTTGGAGCGGGCGCAAGACGCTGGGGGATTTTACCAGGCCTTAGCAGGCCACGCTAACCACCGGGCCGGTACCGGGCCTACTGTTAAATGTCGTGTCGGGCCGTGTCGCCCGATGTTCCTGAGCAGCGCCCTCTGGAATGGCCCTATGCATCGGGCCGGGCCAGCCCAAGCCCGTGAAACATCGGGTCGTGGCGTGCTCGTGTCGGACTAAAATAGCGGGCTTCGTGCCGTGCTAAAGATGGCAACGGGGCCCCGATACCCAACGGGTATTTGATCCATTAGGGGACAGGGGTGTGATCATATCTTTACCCGCGGGCATCTAAATGGGCTCATGCCTAAATCTGAACAATCATATATATAGTTTGTGTGTTCTAGGAACCCTAGTTCAATTTTTTCTCACCATCTCCGCCAGCAGCACAAGCACGCCTGCCTCACGAGCGCTCATGCCCCTCGCTTCCTCAGTTCGGTCTCTCTGCCACCTTTGCTCGTCCTCCTCGCAACCTCACTCCTCCTCGGCATCTCCGAGACTCCGACACTTATACCCGGGTGAAGAAGAAACGTCTCCGATTGCAAAGTTGCGACCCTAAGTGTCCTTGTTTATCGGGTATGCAGTACCCGTCGGGTATCTGTTACCCGACCGATGCCCGACGGGTATAGGGATGGGCAAGAATCTATACCCGAGATAGTTAACGGGGATGGGGACGGGATGAATTCTCCGTAGCGGGGAAGAGAACGTTCCGGTGATACCCGACGAGTACATCCCCGTTGCCATCCTACGGGCTGCACGATCATCTATAAGTACAACTTACAATTCTATCATAACCGCACTCGTGCATATATTCGACATTCATATCTATTAGCTAATTGGCCAGAGAAACCACAGTTAAAGGTTAGACGCACGAGGAATGGGAAAAAGATTAAAAATAAAATGCTTCATATAGATCTACGTACGTATGTAACGAGGTCATGACCCCGGCCCCCACCACTGGTCGTTGTGATCGATTCGAGTCCTAAACGGTTCTAAGTTTTGCGCAAGGGTCGCTCCTAATCCGTACAGAACTCAGTGTTCCAAACTCCGCCTTGTAATCGTATATAATTCGGTATTAGTAATACCCATCGGCCCTCTATGTATTCATATATGGTAACACGCAACTAGCTAGCTGCTTTCCGTTTTGGACGTCGCCGGTGTAGTCGACGATCGAAAAAAGAGAGAAAGAGGCCATGACGTCGTGTTGGTCATCGGTGCTGGCGGTCATCGGTGGCTACGCAGAGGACGACGACCCGGACATGCAGAAGGGGGAGGAGAAAACGTCCGCCACGCTGCACCGCAGGCTGCTCGCCGGCTGGGCAGCCGCGGCGTCGGAGAAGGAGGAGACCAAGAACCTGACGGCGGAGGTGCAGGCGCTGGAGCGCGCGCTGGCGGCGACCAGCATCTCCCGGGAGGCGGCCGAGGCGAGGCGGCGGGACGCCGAGGCGTGCGCCGAGGCGGCCGAGACCGAGCTGCGGGCGGCCACGGCGCGCCAGGATGCCCAGGTGGAGGAGCTCCGGCGCGCGCTCGACGCGCAGGAGGACAGGGACGCGCGCATCCGGGAGCTCGAGGACCAGATACGGGACCTCAACAATGCCACCAGCAAGTGGCGCTTCTTCTAGCCTATGCATGCATGGCCGGTTCATCTCCGGTTGTAATTGCAACGAAACCGAGACAGGCAATTGCTTGGACATGGATTGGATTGACAGCCGCGTGCGTGATTCTTACAGCATTGGATTATGTACTTTTTTTCCTTATCGGTGTTTCCTTCCCCAAAGGCTGTAAAATTCTAGCCAAGTTTTGATGATGAGATTATTTGTGCTTACCCGATGCGACGAGTTCTGGGTTTAGGGTTTTGCATCGGGTTCATTAGATTTGAGGGTTTACCGTCGGTGGAAGGAGGCAGCGAGTTGCTGGGAATCAACTCGAGACTTTTATGTATATAATATAAATGATTATTCAATCAAGTTCTACATCTTGAGCCCAGGAATTTGATTGATTTTGATTCTTAATTTGCGTTAACAGATTTTTTAACGATGAAATAGAAATATTTATCCTAGCATCTACATCCAAATTGAGAATTTAATACTCCTAGATTGGTTGATAAACTACTGTGTGGCCGTTACTCAATTACTATGAAGAGGTAAGTGACCTAACTTTTTTTTTACTGTTGATTTCCCTAGTAAACTTGAGAAGGATGATTTATTTGATCAGATTTCTGCTGTGCATTGCATTTTGGTCAAGATAAGAATCAGATTTTTTTTTAGTGAACCTGGAGGAGGGAAGCAGATTACGGCGATTTGCACTAAGCTAATGTTGGGAAGCAGGCTTCCGCCATTCGAACGCCTCGCTCCGTTCAGTCCTGCCCGCGCGGATTCGCGCCCATCTGCGTCGCGCGCCCTGACTTCAACAGTCGTCTCTATCTGCCCACGTCGCCCGCCCCAGCCCGCTTGGATTCGCCGCCTCCACCGCGCTAGGGCGCCGCCATCCGTTGTCGCGACGCCTCCACCGTGTCAGTTCGCCACGCTACACGCGTCATGTTGCGCTGAAAATATGTGCACCGCCCGCATCATGTTGTGTTGAAAACATGTGTGTTGCAAATGTATGTTCCAGGTGCTTCAGATGTTTCAGAGATATCTTGTAAGTGTTTTATATGGATGTTGCAAATGTAGACCCGGATGTTGCACATGTTGCAATGGCTATACATGTATGTTGCTAGAGTTTGTTCAAAATGTTTCATCTGTTGCAGACGTATGTTGCAAGTGCTTTATCGAGACATTGCAATGGCTATGTTACAAGTATATGTTCCAAATGTTTCATCTATTTGAGACGTATGTTTGCAATTGTTTTATCTAGGTGTTGTAAAAAGTAGATCTCGATATAGGGTTATCGAACGAGGAAGAGAGAGCTAGCGTGGGAGCCATGGCGGCTTCGGCTGGTAAGCTAGCGGCAGTGCTCCACCGAAGGACATGCAAGGTCACGTCCGCGCTGGCGTACGCGGCCCGTCCCCTACGACATGCTGCCTCTGCTGCCCCCGCGGCAGAGGTTCTGGAGTAGAAGCTTGTGGCACAACACGGAGAGATGCAGAACCTAGCTATGGAGAACGACAGGCTTGCTGCGAGCTACGCCACAGGTGACTTGGGCGTGCGAGGACAAGACCCCACGTGGTGACAAGCGCGGGTGCGACGGGGCTGGCTCCCCTGTTATGAGGGGGACGGGATGGGGCGCGATGGATGCGTCGAACAGTAGTTGCGCCCAGACGTTCGCACGCTAGCCTTGCCGCAAATCCCTAATGCTGGGAAGCAGGTGTCCGTCCGTCCGGATGCCTCGCTCTGCTCACTCCCGCTCATGCCGCTTGCCCTCGCCCGCGCGGATTCGTGCCCCCACGCCGCGCGCCCTGACTGCAACAGTCATTTCCATTTGCCCACGCCGCCTGCCCTGGCCCGGTCAGATTCGCCGCCTCCACCACGGCGCGCGGACTCGTTTTGCCCGCCGCAGCCGCTCCATCCGCCTGCCGCGACCGCCCCCACCGCGCCGGGACGCCACCATCTGTTGTCGCGGCCACCTCAACTACATCAGTTTGTCGCGCTGCCCGCGTCATGTTGCGCTGAAAACATGTGCTCGGCCTCGTCATGTTGCGTTGGAAACATGTGTGTTGCAAACGTATGTTCGAGGTGTTTATGTTTCAGAGGTATTTTACAAGTGTTTCATATGGATTTTGCAAAGGTAGATCCAAATGTTGCTCATGTTGCAATGGTTATACATGTATGTTGCAAGTGCTTTATCAATATGTTGCTTATGTTGCAATGGCTATGTTGCCTGTGTATGTTCTAAATGTTTCATCTGTTTTAGATGTATGTTGCAATTGTTTTATCTGAGTGTTGCAAAAGTATATCTCGATATAGGGTTGTCGAGCGAGGAAGAGAGCTAGCACAGGAACCATGTCGTCATCGGCTGGTAAGCTGGTGGCAGCGCTTCACCGGAGGACGCGCAAGGACACATCCGCGTTGGCGTACACAGCTCGTTCCCCTACGACATGCTGCCCCTGCTGCCCCCGCTAGAGGGGAAAAAATTCAGTGCAAACTGTATCCACCGCGCCTCCCTGCATACATGCCATGGATAGCTGCCACGTGTCCAGTCAACGCGATCCAACCGCACGCCTAGATGATTTTCTCGCATGTCCGCATGCAGCTTCGGTTGCCTCCCGCGCCCGCTGCTTTTCCGCCTCCACCATGCGTGGTTGGATCGTGTTGACTGGACACGTGGCAACCATCCATGGCATATATGCAGGGAGGCACGGTGGATACAGTTTGCACCGAATTTTTTTCCCGCCAGAGGTCCTAGAGCACAAGCTTGTGGCACAGCGCGGAGAGATGCAAAACCTGGCTGTGAAGATTAACGACTGGCTTGCTGGGAGCCACTCCACAGGTGACGCGACGCGGCGAGGATGAGACCCTGTGTGGCGATGCGCGCGGGTGGGCTCCCCTATTACGCGGGGCGCGGCGGCAGTTCTGTTAAGCGGGGGAGGGGATGGGGCGCGGCGACGGCGGACGCACTTCTTACACGGGGGAGGGGATGGGGCGCGACAAATAGGAGCTGCATCTGGACGCTAGCCTGGGCCGAACATCCGGGCGGTAGCCTTGCCGTTTGGACTAGCGTCGTGATGGAAAAAAGAGCCCATTTGATATGACATAAAAAATTCTAGTTAATTGTTATTGCTGTTGAACGAAATCACAAAATTTAATCTGGAAAAGGCACTACAGTACGTCCGTACCAATGACTTGAAATGGCGACAATGGTAATGAGCCTACTTCGTTTGTGCCTTAATCATGCCGCTTAACTTAGTGATGACAGTTCTGCGATGAGTGCTCCAATAAGATTACCAAGTTTTACCTCAAGCCCTTCGTTTATAAACAGCTTCATACACTTTCATTCCATCAATTTTTTATATTAGTATATATTTCTAAAAGAGAAGTGTTCGTCAGCTGGAACAGTCATGCCTTGCTGAACGGCAGATTACAGGCTACTTCTTGCTGAACTGCAATCAGCATTGAGGGCCAACCTGTTAAACCAGGAATAACCGGCAGTGACTGCCCAGTTCAAACTTTAAAGTTTGAAAACAACATACACATATCTTTGCAATAAAGTCAACCTTGAGGTTTCTCTATTTGCTAGTACTTCTATTTTACAGCTAAACCAAAACGGATACACTTTTTTGTGCCCACTTGGCTGATACTTACTCCATAAGAGCACACCATATAAATCCATAATAAGGTTTTCATTGATCCAGGGCCATCTTCATAACAAGATCATTCCACGCATCAATGGGGCCTGGCACACACCAGTGCAAGCAATCATTTTGAACGGGCGTGGATTTCCTGCTGCCCTTTGCGAAGGGATAGGGTGTTCTGTAAGGCCCAACGTGACCGTCCGGTCTCAAGAACGAGAGGCTGTAGGTATCCATGAGTCCCAGCCTATCCACATCCACTGAACCCCTAAGCGCGGCTGCAGCCTTGTTGAAGGATTCAAGCTCGATTTGCCTCATGACACGCTCGATGTATCCCTCTCTGTACTCTCCCTTCTTGTAGGGCAATTCCCTGTAACAAGACCCACCATTGAACCACTCTCCATTCTCAAAGTGATCAGGTGACCAGGTCCTGAACAAAACTACTGGCTTGTGTTTTGCTGAGATGATGAAGTTGAAAACATTTTGTAGAGTTTTCCGATACAGGTGCTCAAAACCAAGTTCAGCAAGGTTCTTGTTCTGAGAATTATGACAACCAATCACTGCACCATTCTCCCAGTAGACCGCTGTCTTCAGAAACCATTGTCCGCCAGAAATAATAATATAGTCAAAGCTCTCATACTGACTTGTCCAGCTAGAATCAAGTATATCAAGGTGGAGCTGTATCTCAGAGGTGGATACACCATCCTCATTCTCAAAAACATCAGATTTGATGAGGAAAGGAGCCCAGACGATGCACACTGTGAAGTTGTAGGATTGGAAGTGCCATCTCCTGTTTTTGAATTCCTTATCATGGTAAACCTCAACAGGTTCTTCAGCCTAAACAAACAGCAAGCAGATATTCTCAGGATATTATAGCACTACAAGTTCCCGTTATGGAAGAGAATAAGATTAGAGCATCAGGGAATTTCCATCCCAGTGTTATTTCTACCAGGAAAATGATTAAAATAGCAAAAGCCAACAGCAGGAGGTAAACAGTTCTAGTTTTGGCAGCATCAGAAGGAAGCATATGACTAGTGGTACACATGAAGTTTAGTGAACACTGAACAAGAGTTTCCGCTATTCTTGTTAAAAGTATGGTAACAGGACCTTTACTTTTGTAGCTGCATAAAGTTTTTATCAAAGCACTTGTTATCAAGCTAAAACATCATATCTATTATTCCAAAATGCAGATTTGGAAGGAAAGAAAGAGTGAATTTCCAGTACGATTTTGTTAAAGAGCCCATCATATTCAAATATAGACATCGGGACTATGTATAGAGGAACATGTTGGACAACGGGCAGTAGGGCACTGCATCACCTGAGAACGAGAAAATAAAGTTGGTAGCATTTACCTTAGACAGAAGGCAAAGCAATGACTGAACTTGGTTACGAAGAATGGAGTCACCAATTAGTCCCCAAGCTTTGTTTCTCATATAATCTAGAAATCTGACTGCATCAAATGGTGGAAGATCACATCCATAAGGCCTCCACTTCCAACGAAGATATTCCTTATCAGGTCTACCATTCATCATGCAGTTCTGGTGATCATCAATAAATCGACAGCTTGCATTTGTATAGGCTGGGCCAGAGGGATTTGGTATCCATTCCCCATTGAAAAGATTGCATTTTCCTATAAAAGTAACACCTCACATCAGAAATACTAGAAACAAGAACAAAAAATAATAAAACATTCAAGTTTACTCATACCGTTTCTGCTTTCAAGATTCTAAAGCTTGGTAACCCTGTACTTGTAATGTACAGGGATTGTAATTTACTACATCCAATAACAAATAAGTGTCGTATTAGAAAGCATTCAATTGACCTACTAAAATTTAGACCAACACCAACTTTATCAATATTTAGATCTTTTATACAATTGTACTGTATGGAAATAAAAAAATAGACCCAGAAATTGACTTGTCTATCTAGAGTATTTTCAAATTATGATAATTTTATTAGGACACAAATAAAGTCTTGTCAAATTAGATTCCAAAACCATGTCAATCTACAAACAGCATTTGTGAGTTGTGGCTGTAGGATGCAAAAATCTATGGTCTATAATGTTGGCTGTTTACAAAGCTTAATCTCATTTTCACCAGCAAAAGATGGTAATAGCAAATAGACAGAAGGATCAAGGTACAGTTTTGATGTCCGGAACATATTTCATCAAGACCAGACACTCACCTAACTCGTTGGTCCCATGTTCTTTTATGGATAATAATGTAGTAAGATCATTCCAGCCTCTACATCCAAGGACGTGCACAGCCTTAAATATTACTGAGTCACAGCACAGTAGGACGAACAGCTGGCCTAACTTATGAAAGTTTAATAGGCCACGTAGCATTCGTGGTCCCATGCTTGTACAGTAACTGTGATTAACTTGGTTGATGTCCTCAATTATCATTTATCTTACTAGAACTCATTGCTAGCAACGAGTGGTCATTGTAGTCTTCAAAGCATTGTATGGCAAGGGTGTTTGCAGATATGAGGCACTTGTTGGGTATCTTTCTAAAAAAATAAAAGCAGAAATGTAAATAAGCAAAAACACAATCTTAACAAGCAGGTGAGGGTTCTTATGGAAAGCCTGCAGAGCATATGGACAGGATTCACTATCTATTAAATCAGATCCCAATGCGTCAACCAAACGCTTTGTGTGGTGAGTATTTTACTTAATATGCTTTAGCCAAGTCCTGAGCTAGTTATGGTATGATCAGACATGTCACAGGGAACCCAGAGTTTGACTATCCGCTGTGCCTAGTGACAAATCAAGAGGATGCAGTTCTATGGCTCTAAAGGTTGTAGGTATGCCATGTTTATGATGGTAGAAAAGCAGAATTTTAGTAACAAAGCAAGGCACCAAGAGATATATCAGGGTATTGGAAAACTGAAAGAACTAAATCGCTTGCAAAGTATTGGAAAACTGTTACGGACCAGGGACCGGAGAGCGGCCACGACGAGACAGCTTCCACTTTGTCTTGATCCATGGCCACACCGTGGGCTGTAATGACATGTCCCAAGTAACTGACTGAAGAAGTTGCGAAGGAACATTTGGAGCGTTTCAACTTAAGCTGATTGTCGCGCAGTGTAGAGAGGACCATGTTGATATGTTGCAAGTGCTGTGACCACGAGGGACTATAGATCAAGATATCATCAAAAAACACGAGGACAAACTTACGCAAAAACGGCTGCAGGACGGCGTTCATCAAGCTTTGAAAAGTTGCCGGCGCGTTTGTAAGCCCGAAGGGCATAACCAAGAACTCAAAATGACCTTCATGTGTGCGGAAGGCTGTCTTCTCAATGTCATCAACATGCATCCGCACCTGGTGATAACCTGAACGCAGATCAAGTTTGGTGAAAAAGCGGGCGCCTTCCAACTCATCCAACAGCTCCTCGACAACCGGAATTGGAAATTTATCTTTCACTGTCTGCTGATTCAGGGCACGGAAATCTACACAGAAGTGCCATGTGTCGTCATGCTTCTTCACCAACAGGACAGGGGCCGAGAAGGCTGAGGTGCTGTGGCGGATGACGCCCTGCTGTAACATAGAGGCGCACTGGGACTCAAGTTCATCTTTCTGGAGCTGCGGGTAACGGTATGGCCTTACTGCCACTGGAGCTGTATTGGGTAGCAAATGGATCCGATGGTCGCACGGTCTCGCCGGCGGTAGTCCTTGCGGCGTGGCAAAAACGTCCTCAAAGGATTGCAGTAGTGTGTCCAAGAGGGCCAGCACCTTGCTGATGGTATTAAGGCGGCGGGTGGACTGAACATCATACCGTGCTGAACCAATGCCGCGCCAGAACACGCGACGCCCCCCGCGCGTGAAAGCCATGCATAGATCATCAAAATCCCAAAGGATCGGGCCCAAAGTGCGGAGAAATTTGATGCCAAGCACCATGTCCCACTTGTCCAGAGGTAAAGAATAACAGTCCACTGAAAAGACTTCGCCGGCAATGCGAATACCCACATCGTGCGCTAGCCCGCGGCACTCGACGTGGTCACCGTTGGCAACTATGACTCCAGCGCCAGGGCACGGGGAGAAGTGAAGACCAACCCGGCGTGCGACGTCCCCGCGTATAAAATTGTGAGTAGAGCCGGAGTCCAGGAGTGCAACCCCTGCTCATTGACGATTTGGACGTACACCTGCATGGTGTCCTCCGTGCGAATGCCGGCAATGGCGGCCAAGGAGATCTTAGGGGATTCTGTATCATCGGCTGCAGGCTGCTCTTCATCATCGGAGTCCCTTGGCTCTTCCACCAGGTAATCTGATACTTCCAGATAGAACAGCCAGGCGCACTTGTGGCCTTGCACGTACGGCTCATCACAATTATAGCATAATCCCATCTTGCGGCGTTCACTCATCTCGGCCGGAGTGAGCCGCTTGAACGGACGGCCCGGAGATGAAGACGAAGATGCCGTCGAAGAGCTCGAGGACGCCGTGGATGGACCTGCCGTTCCTAGGGCCGGCAGGGCTAAGTAGCCCTGGTTGCCGCGACGCGGCCCCCGATACGGAGGTGCTGGTAAAGCAGGCGGCGCATTCCGGCGCTCATAGGCACGCGCCAAGCGCATGGCGCGGTGAAGATCCTACGGGTCATGCAGCTCAACATCGACCCGGATGGAATCGGGGAGACCGCCGGTAAACAATTGGGCCTGCTGCAGCAGATCCAGCCTGCCCGCATGAGCGAGTCGCGCCTGGAACGCGGCCATGTAGGCGTCGACGTTGGAGGAGAATGGCAGCCGGGCGAGGTCGGCCAGGTGGTTGGTGGACAACGCCGATCCGAAGCGCTGATGGCAGAGTAGACGGAAGCCGTCCCACGACGGCTGCCCGGCGTCACGCTCCAGCACGTGGTACCACTACTGGGCGACGCCTGTCATGTGGAAGGAAGCCAGCCACACTTTGTCAGCCTCCCGGGTGAGTTGGCCGCGAAAGAAGGACTCGCAGCGATTCAACCACCCCAGCGGATCCTCCATGCCGTCATAAGTCGGAAAAGAGAGCTTGTGGAAGCGAGGGACCCCTGAACTGTCATGTTGTTGTGGCAGATGGTGGCGGGGTGGTGGCGCGTGCACCACAGTCGAGGACGACATGAGCGGAGCCTGCATGATGGACGAGAGCGACGGGACCGGTGACGGCGAGTGGGGAAACGGGATGCTCTGGATGGGTAACCCCGTGATCGGCTGGAAGGACACTGGCCCGCCGGCTGAAGTGGCAGTCAGGGACGCGGCGGCGAAGATTGCACCTCCGAGATGACCGGGGACGATGCCGGAATGCCACCAAAGCCCGGCATGCCGCAGGTCAGGAGCAGCGCCTCCGAATACGACAGTGGAGCCGGTGATGACGATCCAGGGCGGCCCTCAAGGGCGAAACGCTTGCAGTCTGGGGCGGAGACGCCAGCAATGACAACAGTCGCCGACTTACGCCGCAACCCCTGGATGGCGGTCAGGATCAGGTTGAGCGGGTCGGACGATGCAGGGTGTGGAGGGGGCGGCATTGACAATGGGTGCGGTGGTGGCAGGCAGGGTATCGTCGGTGGCGGTGGTGGTGACTCCCGATGAAGCCATGGTCTCTGATACCAGATTGTTACGGACCAGGGACCGAAGAGTGTAAGAATGCGAGGTGGGAGGTTGAGGCTTGAAGGTCCGGCGACGAACAGGCGGAGCCGTCGTCGACAGATGGGTTTGGACGGGGAAGAGGAGTCGCCAGGAAGCAAAGGGAGATTAAATCTCAACCCTGGCTTCCCTCTTTCATTAAAGATTTGCAGTACTTATACAACCCAATCCTAACAAACTCAATAACAACTCAAACCAAATATCTTTCCTAAACTCTAGGACTCTGATAACTGATTGGCAGCAGCTCGGCTGCGCCTGGTAACTGCGCACTGGCCCTTGGCCGACTCAGCCACGGTGCCTGCGCTGGTACACATTGCCCGTCATGACAAAAACAGTGATGTGTTGATAAGTGCTATTAATTCAGATTTCAGAGTAGCAGACCACCTCAAGGAAGTGGACTCCTGAAGAACAGTATTTGGCAAATAAACCTTGTATCACTCAAGTCTGGAAAACAAAAAAGGAACAAATATTTTTTGACATGCTTATTAAGGCATGATAGAATTCTAACGTCACCATGGAAGACAACTTAACCATATGAAGCCAACCTCATGACCAGATTTGTGAAAACCTGCTACCATTAATGCAAGAGCGGTACAGCTGTAAAAATGTTGCCTTTTTCTGAGACAAGCTTGGAATCTGGTAGAAGTTGGATGGCCCTGGCCAACAGGGATCAATAAAAATCAACTTGAGGAATTACATTTGATGGACCGATTAGAGAAACAAAACATGCAATTAAGCAAGAAAGGAAAGGACAGCTTTCAAAAGAGCGATTGTTTATGTTAGATGAATCTATGGAAGGAAAGAAATACAGGCAATTTTTCAACAACAGCAGCTTGACAATTTGCAAGTTCATGTACCAAACGAGGGAGGATATCACACACAAGGACTGCTTGGAGCGGTAGACAACTAGACATGCAATCTGCCTCTCTTTGTTTATCAACCAGCCTTGCGCAAATAACAGCAGCTTGACAATTTGCATGTTATGACCGGTAAGAAATATAGTGAAATTGTCTTTCCCATTCTTT